CATTGATATTTCCCTTCCCCCTTTCCTCTCTTCTCACCCCTGGGGCATGCCTACACTTATTTACAAATATACTTAAATATGTAGTGCTTCAGTGAGCCAGCTATAATCTAAAATACTGAGTACCCTGGCAGCCTGCAGAATCCTTCTGGCAGATCTTGGTAGACCGGTTAGCACAATTGTTCCAGATTGATTCATCTCTATAATGTATTTAGTTCTTTTAGCTATCTGCATATTTTTTGCAATACTTTCCCTGCAGTTTCCCCCCCACCCTTTTGTCCTCGTTCTCTCAACCTCTGAAGACCTGGTTGTTGAATTATGGAAGCATTATGTAGAGAATTGTGTGTCTTAGTAGCTCTTTGTCAAATGATGTCTGTTGACCTTTGTATGCCCATGAATTTGAAGTGAGGTTTAATTTAAAATATTATGATAGATATTTCAGAGAAAAATAGAAAGGTTTTTTGTAATTTTTGAGTCTTATGAATTAAAAAAAAAAATAAATTGCCTTTTAACTTGAAATAGCTGTAAAAAAGAAATTGATAGAAGTTGATACTAAATGTGCACCAGTTGTTTAGCAGTCATAGTATGTTTATTTTTTAAAATTTCCTGTTAAAGAGGAGGATTTTTTATCTCCTGCTCTTAGGTAGTGTCAAGGTATAAGCCTAAAAAGATGTCTAAATATATTTTAAACATGCTTGTTAGTGATTCAAGGAATTATAAATTTCAATGTACATTTTAAACATTGGTAAAATCTGGATTTACTAAGATGTGATTTCATGATTTAATTATGTTGTTATGGCTGCTAAGCCAGTATTAGGAAGTCAATAACATTTATAGTAAGAGTTGTTTCTAGCACAGTGCTACCTAAAACATTGTATCACCTTTTTGTCTGCTTCAAAGTAATGTGACATTGGAGTCCTTTGGGGAATTTTGTACAACAGTAGTGTTGTTGTCTTTGAAATTTTTTTTAATATAAGAATGAATGTTATTTTAAAAACCTCTCAATAAAGAAGTGGACTAGTTAAGGTAGCTACAGTGCTGTAGTGTAGACTGGATGTGTATGACACTTCTAGGTTATGTTGCAGTTGGTCATACAAAAATATTCTGTGAGATGAAGTGGAAAAAAAAAAAAACCCGTTCTCAACAATTGCAGCTGAAATAGACGGTTCCAGGCATGTCTTTTCCCAGTGTTCTCTGGTTTTGTGGCGGCTATTTTTGTTAGGTTTGATTTTGGCTTTTTTGTTGGTTTTGTTTTCTCCTCCTCTCTTGATGTTAATGTCCCAGTTGAGTTGGAATACAGTAACTTGCAGCAGCACTTAGCCTGGAATAAACCCGAGGCGGGTCCTGCCTTGATTCTTGCCGCGGAGCCAGCGGGGCCGGCTGCTTTATGCAGGCGATGCGCCCCACCCATGGGGCAAGGAACAATACGAGGTTTTGCGGGATCCCCATAGGCAATTTTGAGGTTTGCAACGACTGGCTTACAACTTGATGCATTTTAACCTTATTACCTAGAAGGTCAGTTGTCACAGAACCTGTTTGTTGGGAATATTTGCGAATTCTTGCAATTTTTGGCAAACTTTCCCAGGAGTGGCCAAAACACAAGTGTAGAACAGTGTTACAGATTACTCTAAGCAGAAGGGAATCTCCTTTGCTCCTCTTCTTCCTCAGGTGTAGCTCAGGCTCCAGATATGACTTGGGTTAAAGCTGTAGCCACGGGAAGTCACCTGTGGTGTCTCAGTCTATTGGTAAAATTCTGTCATTTATGCCTGAAACATGAGAAAACTGTAGTTGTGCAGTTCAGTTACAATTTTCATTGTGTTTCAACCCAGACCTCCTGCACATTAAACGTTTGCACAGACATTTAGACAGGTGTTGTCCATGTATTTTAATTGGAAATAATGATCCTACATTGCCACTGTTTTGTTCTAGAGACTGCAAAAATACTGCTACGTGTTATAATTTGTCATTTTAGATATTTCACCTCATTGTACTTGTCTATTCAGTTTGCATTTATCTGCAAAGTGTTTATTTTATGGTATGAACATTTAGGTTCCTTTGCATATTTTTGGTGAATTGCCAAAAGAATGAAAATTTAAAGAATGAAATATGCTTAAGACAAATGAATTGTTAGTACATTATTGTTAATATAAAATTTCAGTTATTGTTTTAATACTGTCCTTCCATGCAATATAAGCAAATCTGAATATCGGCATTGAGAATTTCTCAAAGAACATTTAAGCTTACATGATTTTTATTGTCCATTGAGGCTGATGTAATTGTAATTACTCAGTGCATGTACAAATGAGGGATAAGGGTTGCTAACATCTTGTGGAAAAGAAAGGGAATTTTTCTCTAAGTTATAAAAATGACCAAATGTAAGTATTCTCATTTCCAGAGCCAGAATTCTTCAAAAATAGTGAGTATTAGGCATAAGGATGCTACTCTGAAGAAAAGCATGAACAAACTGTGCTAGAAACCATGCAGCCTCCAAGGAGAGAGCAAAATTATTCTCAGTTTCTGGAAGTACCAGTAAAACTTCCTATCTGTAAATTATATATTTATTAACATTGAAGGATTCTAGCAATAAGCTTGTGTAGGGCTGGAGATTCATCTGTTGTTGCTGTGTGCATTTGAAGTAAGAAACACAAATACTTCTTGAAAATCCAGGAAAAACAAAAGTTCCAAGACATCATTAAGAATATGAAGATATTACTGACAACAAAAGATGTCAGTAGGAGATGTCATATGATAATTCTCAATCATATCCATTTATGTCTCTGGCTTACAAAAGGAAGCTGTTAAAACTACCGAGAAGTTGCATTTTTTAATTTAGTTTAGGCTGCTACCAGTGGAAGATGACTTTAGCCTTAACTGTTAGAACAGAAATGCTGCTTTGACCTTTGTAGTGTAGCAGTGTGTGAGCCGCGTTGTTTGCCAGCCTTCTGGGTAAAAATGCTTCATTCCAGCCTGTTCAGTCACTTCATTCTTGGCTAGAAATTGCTTGCAGACAGCAGGTCACATAATAGATCACTTCAGCTTGTGTCCTGATGGCATTGGATGATCTTCTTCATTCCAGCCAAATACATATTTACACCACGATTTCTGTTTTTAAAAGTGCGTTTTGATGTTCTCTCCCTTTCGACGGGAAGAGCATGTGTCAGTTCTGCTGGGCCTGTGTGGAAATAGGGAGGAGAATCTGTGTGTCTGTACAGTTACTGCAAACTAAGTTATATGTGTCCTCTTGGGAGGGATGCTGACCTTGTGGAGTTGGGATGCTTCTCGCTCAGTTACATTCCTCAGGGTAGCAAATGCTGACTGCAGCATCAGCATTTATTTCTCCTGTGCCTTTCTTTAAAGCTGAGCATAAAATTGACATTAGAATGCAATTGTAGTTGATGCCAGAGTGAGAAGTCTTTCTTTTGATTTAGCTGACTTTTTTTTTCTGGAATTCAAATGTATTTCCCCTGTTGAAGCAGAAGAGTGACTTAGTTGGAGAGCAGCCAGTGTTTTTCTCTTGACGTAAACTGGCTGATCTAGTTGGTGACTGGCAGTTAAGGATCCTTCAGGTGTCTGTCAAGCTATTTACTGACTGTACTTGAGCAATAAAATTATGTCAGCTGGTGTGATATTTTAGAGCAGCTGCTATTGCTGGCCACCGACAAATGGGCTTTTGGTGTAAGAATCATCTTTCCTGGTCACCAAAATTGAACTGAGTTAGTTGTGTGCCTTCCCTTTATAGTTGTTGGAGAGAAAATGACATTTAGTGACTCTGTTTTTTCTTGCCTTGGCGTAAAAATCTGCAGTCAGATTCTTTGGAAGCAGCTATCTCCATTAACTAAAATATCTGGGGGCTGCTTGCAAGGTTGTAACAGGTGAGGATAGGATATTCCTGCTCATTTTTAATCCCACTTTCCTGAGCATTTATTTAAATGAAAGGGTTATAGGTTGTCATGCTCAACAGCTGATGGTTGCCAGTTGCCATTTATCCTGTCTGTGCTTCTCAAGACACAGATGAGATGCCTGGTGACTTGGCTGTAGAGGTGCAGAAAGCTTCTGATCCTGGAAATGGCATGTGAGGCTGAGGCATGAAGTGGTGACTGCCTGCAGGCATTTTTGCCTAAAAAATTTGTGTATTTGTGAGTTGAGCAAGCATAAGAAGTTGCCTCTTGATTTGAGCATTAGGTAGAAAAACAGGGAGTTCTTCCTTTGTGATTAGGAATTAATATCTTGTGTTTGTCATAATTATCTATTTAAAGGAGATTTTTCACAGGCACCTTGTGCTGGAAGTTGATAGAGGTTAGCTGTCTATTTTCCACTTCTACTTTTATTTACTTATGTACCCATTTCTCTCCTTGTCTCCCTCACCAAAATACCTTTCCCTGTTTTCCTTTTTCTTCCTCTCTTAATTACAGTATTTCTGGAGAGCTTTCCTTAACCTATTTTAGTAAGTATCATAATTAACACTTAACCCTGTATTACAAACAGGGGTTTATTTTTTTTTGTTCTTATTTTAGCTGAACATGGTTTACATCAGTTTTTTTTTTTTACTAGTGTCATGTATCTGACATGTATCTATAGAATTATACTCTAATTATACACTACTTCAGTTAGTGAGCAAAAATACTTTATCATCTTCTCTTGCTTATTGTTGGTGAATACTTGTATCTGCTGAAGGCTTTTTTATCCTTATTTTATCCATTCCTTATCCTTTATTGAATGTTTATCCAAGAGAGAAAACAAACCCTGTCAAGCAAACCAAAATTGCTTTATTTCTTATCTTTTTCTTTCCTTTTTTTTTTTTGATCTGTAGTGAGCATGCTGTTTAGAAGGCTTATCTCTGCAGTGGTTTTTGTAAGTGTTTAATGTTTATGAAGCATAGTAAACCAACGCCTTTTGAACTCTACAAATGAATATTAAATTAACTTCAGAAGACACACACACTTAAGAGCTAAGCTGAATGATTTTGAGCAATCAGGTTCTAAATTGAACACTTGCTTTTGCAGGCCCAGATCGCCTTTCTTCAAGGTGAAAGGAAAGGACAGGAAAATCTGAAGAAGGATCTAGTGCGAAGAATCAAAATGCTGGAATATGCGCTCAAACAGGAAAGGTATGCTGCTTTTGTGATGAGTATGTGATGAAGAAATGCTGAAGACAGATACTTTATTTTTGCCTTTGTTTTTGACAAAACCAAGAAATGTTTTTTCTGTCTCTGCTCAGTTCTCAGATTGACAAATTTTACTGTACTAAATAAAACCACTAGTCTAAATGTCTACATTACGATAAGAACAACAGCTAAAATAGCATGGCTTGAAAAACATGCTAACAAAACCCATAGCTGATCAATAATGAATGCTTTCCCTTGGTGAAATTCCACTGAACTGAACTCCAGAATTCAAGTGTATTTTCATTTTGTTCAGTGTAATAACTTTGTTTATTAATACATGTCAACTGAAATCTTGAATAACTGTCTTCAGTCTAATAAATACTAGTTTTTAATCTTGCTAAGTTTTTAGCCTTTTCACTATGAGAGACTATACAATAATATCTTCTGGAGGTTAATTGTGTGATTGCAAAAAAGTTTATGTTTACCAGTTAATCAATGTCTATTTCTTGGTGCATGGACATTTTAGTACAAGTCTCAAGTTTACCATTTTATTCTTATGTATACTTTCCTGTTATTCTAAGCTTTGAGGCAAGCAGAAATGCAGAAATCTCTCTGTTCAACTGATTTATTTCAGGCCAAGTTTAATTTAAATTCTCTTAATTAGTGAAATGTCTTTTAAAATTCTTGAATAAAGAGTATATTTATGGTACTGCTGCAAAGCAGTCATTGCTTACATTATAATTTTCCTGTTAGATAATTCCTGCTTCTCTTTAATAAAAGAAGCCTCTGAAATAGTTTATGTAGTAGAAATAAGATTTAAAATACACACGTATGCAAATGAGGAATAGAACATCACCGGTAGATAATTTTAAAAGGACACCAATAGTTACGTTACTGTATTGCATTCAGATTTGCTCAGCTTATATGGGCTATTTTAGCACAAGATGTGTCTTCTACCATCCAGTTTGTCTCTTTATGGTAGCAACCAGTTAATCCACTGGTTGCATGGGGATGCAGCCAGGGTTCTGGCCAGCAGTATCCCCAGGACTCCAGTGTATTTTCTTCTGTTTTGGGGAGTTCTTGGAGGAATCCTTAAGGTAGATACTCTTTTTGCTTGGGCTTTGTTATGGTACCGATATTACATCAAAGAGCAAAGAAAAATACAAAGTGTATGCATAATGGAGTTTGCAGTTTATGGCTGTGGAAAGGCTTACATTTGAAGCATAATTGCAGAGCTTAGTGTCATTGGTTCAGCTAAAAATATACTCTTAAGTTATATATATATTCTGTGAAGATTTCTTGTATTTCAAAACTGGTGGAGCTATTCCTGATTACGTAAAAGTACCTCTAACACTTCATGTTCATAACCCAGAGAAGTTAGCAATTTAAAATCATCAAACAATGTAAATACATTTTTGTGTACTGTCAGAGAAACTTTGTAACATTAAAAAAACAAAAATCAAACTGCCATATGGATGGTGAAAATGTCCCTCAGTTTTATAGTGTAAAATCCACCTAAATGATGACATTTAAAACTTAATGCAGCAGTCCCTGTCAGGATTAGGAAAAAACACTCGGTGGCTTCTTATTACAGTTTTTACATCAGTATCTTTTATGTTGCGTGGTTTTCTGTGGTGTGTGGCATTAGCCTCGGTTACTCAGGTCAGTAGGCTACAGTCAGCTGATCTGATCCAATGTGACAGTTCCAGAACGGGTGGTTCTCTAAGCAGATGTGGTGCTTGTGACTGGTGTGTGTGCTGGAGACAGCTATTTATGAGTTTGTAGTTTTAAGCAGCAGTTTTATTTGCCAGTTTCTAAAGAAATAGTCTTGTATTTCTGCTGGAATTATCTCCCAGCAAGTGTTCTTGCTTGATACTTCAAAGAACGGCAACATACTGAGCTTGGAAGCACTGCTCCCTTTCCCAGCCTTTTCCTAAATCAGTTGTCAGCCTGGTCAGGCAGTAATCAGGATGCTGGCATTTTCAATTGGGTTCTTAGAGCTGGAAAATGAGATCCTCCAAGCTAGGAGGAAGACATTCCCATCAAGTTTGGGGAAGGTTGGTGCGCTGTGGGGGGGCAGGGAATCATTCCTGTATTCCTTCATTTCAGCTCTGGCTGTGTAGTATTTCAGATCTTTCTCAGCTGGATGAAATAAATTATGAGCAACAGAACAGAAGATGAAATTGTGGACCAGAGTACTCCATGTTCATAATGCCCTCAGGAAACCATGAAAAAGAAATGAGAAACATTTGTTTTCTCAGGTACATGCTTCTGTGAGCTGTTATTTATAGTGGCTACCCTGCATTTCTTTTATCAACCAAATAGTTTCAAATTTTACTGTAAATTAACAACTTTGAGACCACTGTTCTTTGTTCTCTATTTCATGTCATGTCATTTTAGTGTGGGTAAGGTAGAAAATAAGTTTTACTACTGATGGTCATGTTTTTCTGGCAAATTTAGTTTAATGTTTAGTCTTTATGTCAGTAATTGTGAGGTTACCTTCTTATTGTGTGTATAGCAAGCCAGGTTATTTCTGCTGAAGAGTCTTAGTAGGTGAAATAGCAAGGAGTTTAGGAGGAGCTGGTGGATAGTTAAGTGCTAGCATTTTTCAATAGCAGTTTTGATGTAGTTATGCCAGCATCCAGTAGATTGCAGTGTGAGGCTGTTCAGAGTTGAGGATTACTTTTTATGACTTTATCAATACTTGCTCCACCACCAGTAAGTTGCACTGGTGCCTCTGGATTTTCAGGAGCTAGCTGAAACGTAGTACTGTTTCTCTCAAGAACATGTCCTATTTCGGCTAGTCTAGCTCACTTCCTGTCTTAACATATTTCAACCAAAGAGCTGGACTCCTGAGCCGTGTCTCTAGAAACAGTTGATTTAATTTTGTGTTGTTTTCTGCACTGATGTGTCCGATCAGTGTAAGGCTGGCGCCTTCTCCCCTGGGTAGAATATCTCGCCGTGCTGTTCCTGGCAGTCGTTCTTGTTTATGTCTCTTGATTTGGCGGCAGCTCCCAGATCTTCTACGGATGTTTTGGCAGGCTCCCGCAGCACAGCTGGATCAGATGCTTCAGGTCTGGCGACAGATATTTCCAAGAAATAGTGGCTTTTTTTGACTGGAATCAAATTTGTTTCTGTGTGAAGTATTCAGCAAAGTTTTACTGCACTCAGTTGTAGGAAACGTGGGTGAAGGCTTTTAGCATTTTCCTAAGCAATTCTTGTGTGGCAGCCATGTTGAATGTTTCCAAGCACTAAATAGAAGACACATAGTTTAATGAAAATACTGCTAATCAAAAGAGAATTGTGTAATAAAGGGCAGAAGCCAGAGCAGTGATAATACTCATGCTTATCTGAGTAAGGGCATCTACCCAGGAACATAGTTTCACAGTGCTAAAATAGCTTTCTTTCAAATAACTGGAAGGCTGATCTTCAGATAGAAAATACCTTCTATTAAGTTGTGTCCTTCAGGTAGTCATTTTCAAGTCATTTTTCTGTCTCTGCATACTGTTAATAATTCATATGTAATTTTCAGAAATGGAAGGTAAATCATTGAAGTTGAACAAGTTTCAGATAGTAAATCTTTGTTTCTTTTTCTCCCCTGCCACCAAACCACTGTCCTTTTTTTTTGACCAGATGATAAAAAGGTTGAAGAAACTTTCATTTTCTTTGTACGTTTTTTACACAAAATATACTTTATCTCTTTTTTTGTGATGATAGTATCACACTACTGGGATGTGTGAGCTAGAATTCAAGGTAAGCTGCAGAAGGCCATTTTAAAGCTGTTAATAAATGGACCCTGTGATTTCTGCAAAAGTGAAAAAATTAAGCGTTACAGGTGGGCAGCAGATATTCTGTCATTGTAAAAACAGATTGAATGAAAATGTGCTAATAGAATAAGTGATATTTTGAATTTCTGTAGAAAAGAATTAAAGGTTATTTTGTGAAGAGTTTCGTACCCTTTGATTGCAATATGTGTAACTGAAGGGTCAAGACTCCCTTCTAGTCCTGGAGACTGAGTCATGGTGTTCAGCTCTTTTCTTAGTGCACTTTAGAAAGAAGATTGTTTATCTTTCATACCTGTGACATTTTCAGCTGTATCATAAAAAAGCATCTAATAATAAATCTCACACTGTCTGAAGACGTGTGGAAGACATTTCCTAGACCTGCAATATACAAAGTTAGGTCCTCTGAAAGATGAAATCTTAAACCAGTTTGGCCCTAAAATAAATGTAAAGGGCCAGTGGTGTACAAGACCATGTAATCTACGTTATCCCCTTGAAGTAAAGAATAGCAACAAAAGCTTTAAAAGCTGTTGTGTTATGAGGTGGAACCAGTTAGAAAATTCTGGTTACTAACAATTTAAAATGGATTTAGAATGATTATTCTCATTCTGGTGAAATGATTTTATAATGCTTTTGATGAGTGGGGAAAACTTCAGTAAGAAAAAAGACTATTACTGTTGATTTAAGAGAGAAGTGAATTAAAAAGTGAGCAACCATGGGTTTAGAAGATTGAAATAAATATACTGAGAAGTTTAAAAAACTGCAGTCTGAATCTTTGAAAGATGGATTTTGGAGAACATGACATCTGAGGAACAGGAAAGGTCCAAAGAATGATCTTTTCAGTGAACCTAGCAAACATTTTACTTAGGCTGGAAATGATTAACAAAACTCGATAAGAAAATTAGTGAACACATAGAGCATAGTGGAACTTTTATAAAACCCACAAACTAAAAGCAAATGTCAGCTGCTGCAAAACTAACTTCTCCCTGAATTCTTTGAAGGAATGAAGTAGAACACAACATGTCAGTAATGCAGATTAGAAGAGCAGAGTATTAATATTTGTTTGTTTCTGTTAAGTCAGATCAAAATAGATTACATATTAAGGTCTCTTGATTTCATGACTGCATAAAAAATTGTACTCTTTTAAGTTGGTTACAAAGTGGAGGATTTCTTAATTCTTGATTAATCATTGTTTTTCATTAGTGGTGGTGGGAGAAAAGTATGCATAGCATCAATATTTAACAATAATGAGAGGCAGTTGTTTTACTAGGGTAAATGGATAGTTGGAGAAGGAAAGATAAATATTCTGATTGAGCATTCAGCTTTGATTTTGTTCTAGTCTTGGTTATTCTGTTCTGTACTGACCAAAATGTTTAACTTCCATCTATTACTTTTAATACATTTCAAGCACATCCTTTCTCTTTTCCTTGTTGAGTGCTGCTCAGCTGAGTTAGAGCTTAGTGCTCTGACTCTTGAGAGTTAGTTCTTCATCTGTTGATGTTGCTATGCCTAAGAAGCACTTCTTCACTCTTCACTTACCCTTCTCAGTCAGAATTAAATGTTTATTATAATTAAAATGCAGCTGGATTAGTAGGAAGCTATTACTGTCGAAATTGAAACTTAAGAACTACAAAGCATTCTTCAGCACGATTTTGTTAAAAGTAATGGGTTTTCTTGATGAAATAGGAAAAGGCAAAAGAAAACAGTAATATAATGAAGATGTTTAGGAAGCAATCTAGAGGTGCAGGTAACTTGAAAACATTTCTGCAGCTGTTCTTGATGTAGTCATGCTATTTTAGTGAAAACTTGCCTCATACAATTACAAAGTGTCAAACCCATTAATTTTTAAAAAATAAATTTTAAGTGAAAGAGCTCCCTTGTGCCTAGTGGAGCTAATGAAACTCCTTTTCATGTTGGTGCATATGAGAGGTTTATTTTTTTTTGTCTTTTTCAGCCTTTTTCTTGCTACTCTATACTTCACTTTGTACATTTGTGCTTGAACCGAGTGTACATGTGAGCTGTTTGATTGTTCCACTACTCCCAGGCTGCACACACAGCATTTCCTGAATTCTCAGTTTTTTGTTTAGATAGGAACTGGTGCAAGTGCCACTCTTCTACCCAGTTGTGAAGGTATAAAACCTGCAGTTTTGTACTTTTAAAGTTATGGTGAGTGTCAGAGAGAGAGAGAACAGATTGCAAAACTAGAAAAAGCTCACTTTGCCTCACTTTCTCTACTGCAGTGTTATAAGACTACTGTAATGAATCTTGAATAACTTAAATGTGCCTGTGTAGTACTGTTCTACTGTGGTGTTATTACGTGTATTTTAAAGTCTGTACATACTGCGTCTTTAGGGCAAAGCTTCTCAAATTAAAAAGCATTTCCATTTTTTTTGTTGCTATTCTTGTTCATTGTATGGCATGGTTTGGGGGCTTATTATATTAGACCTTTTGAAAGCTAAATAATTTTGAAGAAAGTCTCCATTTTTGCACTTGGTCAAGTGGCAGACCTAGCAGCTTTGAGACAAAGTGGTGTGGGTGAGCTGTCTTTGCTAAGTCTCATTTAGAACAGTTTTGGCTGAGGGCCTGCTGCTGTTGGAGAGCACAGCATTTCGAAGAATAAAACTAAAACTAAAGTTTGCTTAATGGAGTGACAATTTGAGATATGAAGTCGATAGCACTGAACTGACATGGCTAGTAAAAATGTTTCATAAACATTGGCTAAAAAGGAAAGGCTGGGGGGTTGGGAAGGGAAGCAGAAGAGTTGCTTGTGTCCACAGGGAAGGAACCTTTTCTGTAGCAAGAACATTTTGTAAAATCTGCAGTCAACTGCTCTGTGTGTTTCCTCAGTATTCACCATGCAATTACATGTAACCCTTGGAAAAAAATATTTCAATAAAATTACCTATCTGAAGTCATGGTAAAATTACTTGGTTTGCTTTGTTCCCAGCCTAGAAGAAAGGAGTGGCTTTTCAATTGAAAACAGATGACATTTATGTGTTTAGTGATATCCTTTAAATGTACTAATAGATTTTAAAAAAAAATTTTGTTTGGTTTCCTTGCAGGGCTAAATACCACAAATTAAAATATGGCACAGAATTGAATCAGGGAGATATGAAGCCACCGAACTATGATTCTGGTAAGAATTTAATGACAGTGAGTTTATTACTGGCATAAAAGCTTAACTGTGTTATGTGCAAATGCTGAATTGATAGTATTGATAAAATAAGTCTCCTAATGGAGCATTGTGAATAGAGATAATTATTCAAGCCTATATTTTACTCTTATACAATTTAAAATATATCCTAATGCTCTAAGAGTCTATTAATAAATCAATTTAGTTTAGATTTAAAAAAAAATCCAAACCCAAATGAGCAGACTGCTCTTGGAGAGAGTAGTTTTTCTATCCCTTAGTGATGTGCATGGATATTTTAGAATAGGATGATACTAGATTCACAGCAATAGAATCCTTTTATCTCTGGATAATTCTTCTGAATGAAATACATAGTTTATAATTTTTTGGTTCAATTACCTCAGTAGTATTCCAGGAAAAAATAATTAAAGTGCATTTTAGACATAAGTGAGAGTTTTTGAACAGGAGAATTCAAATGATCATTGGACATGCATTTAATTATTTCAGTTTTTTGCCTTGGTCTCTGGAAAGCTGATTTGTTTTCATCTCCTACTTCACACAAGTAGATTTAAGCACTGAATTGGGGAAATTAAGAATTTAAGTTGCTTCCTTTTATCCCTCTATCTCCCTATCCTTTCCTCTGGGGGAAAAAATATTAAAAAAGGTACAGAGATCTGGCTAATGGTCAAGGCATCGAAAAAATAGGTAATGTTTTTTGTGTCTCAATCTCCTGATGCTTCTACTACAACAAAATTGGAGCAACCTATACATAAAGGCAGAGCATAGAACTTCTGCAAATCTCATCTCTGTCGCTTGGTTTATGGAGGGGATGGTCTAGCTGACTATCATGGTGATTTCTTACCTCATTTGGTTTAGGAGGTCATGAAAAGACCCCCAAAAAAACAAAAAATCCAACCCCATACCAACTAGCCAAGCTTTACACCAGGCTTTTCTTGTCCAAGTTTATAATGAGTTTTTAGAAATTTTATTTCATGCAATTATCAGCTTTATTTCCTTAACTGAAGAAATATTGAATTTGGTGCTACTAAGTGGAAGACTTCAGTCTCTTTCTGGACCTTTAGAAAACTTTGTCCTGATCATACCACAGCTGTAGGCAGCCATGGTGCTTTTTTGTAATTTCTCAGAATGCAGCTACAGCACATTGCTGAAGTTTCCAGCTGAGGAATGTAGTGCGAGGCCTGGCTTGCCCAGCAGAGCTCTAGACTGTGCTTTAATTCTGCAAAGTCAACATTGTGGAAACACTTCAGCTAAAATTCCATTATTCTCATTTATCCCATTGTATTCTATATACAGCTATCAGAAATGTGTATTTTCATTCTGTATCAAATCTGGACTGATGACTTAAAATAGAAACTTTGTTCTAATATTATTTTGAAGTTGTCTTTGATAGATATCTATGTTGTGTGTTGATATGTTCTCATCGCCCTGTCCCTGTTTTTCCTGCCCAGTCATTAAAAAAAGTCAAAATGTTGGTAGTAGTTCTTCCACATGGATCCTTGTTGTTTTCTTTATGATTTCTTGGTGAGTCTATAACACAATTTTAGGAGAAAGATTTCAATCTCCTGGTAAAGGGATACTTTTAAAAATAAAATTATTTATACAGTTTATCTATGTATACTATATATACTGTATCTTCTGCTATAATTTCCTCATAATGCAAGTCTCTTCACTCTTATCTGTAAACCACTGCTACTGCTAGCAGTCATCACTTTTGAGGAGACTAAGCACAAGAGAATTCTTGCCTCTGGATATACTTAACAGTGCCTTCAGAAGAGTGGGTTTTGCTTTCAAAAGGAATTTTCAGGCAGATTTACCTCAGTCATGTTTTAATAATTATAGACTGAGCTTTGGTAGCTGTGCATTGGATCCAGCTGTGTCCAGTTGTCATTGGAAGATGATTGTGCATTTGATTATTTCCTGTGGTTGCTATTAAATAGATTTGTGAATATGAGATGTCCAAAGTTCATATGTCTCTCCTTGCATGTGAATTCTGATTAGTATTTAATAGCTTCTTTGGGTAGGTGGTGGGGCTTTGTTGTATAGTATTAATTGAGTTGTTTAAAGGTAAGTGACTTCCTGATGAGAATAATAGCTCTCACACGTTACATATTAAGTTACTCATAGGAGTATGCCACAGGTTTTTCTGGTTCTTAGGTCTTGTTTACACAGGAAGTTTGTTCATCCTTCAGTATTTGGACCACAAGGTTTTAAAGTTTTGTAGAGGCTTTCATAGATAATAAACCAAGGCATTTTATCTTGGGAAGCATATGTATCTCCTTGAGGAGAGGAAAAAACCCACCATCATGTGCTGTGAAGCTATATATGGAATAAATGTGTAGCTGTTGGTTTCCAGCATTCTGATAGTTTTCTTAAAAGAACAGCCACATAGCCACATGACATTTTTAAATTTTTTTTTAGATTTTCCTGGAGTAGTAACTTTTGGTTACAAATTTATGGTTGGGGAAAGTGTGCTGAAAATTTTTTAAAAACTTTTCAAGTTAAAAAATAGTCCCTATTTTTTGTTTGTTTGTTTCTGCAAAACTAATGCAAATAAGGATTAAATTGATGCAAGTAGATTTGTTGATTTATGTTGAACTATCAAGTATAAAAAAATTGAGAAATTGTAAACCAATGTCATGCTGCAGTTAGCAGTTAAATATATTTGTATTCAGACTTAATGTGAGCAGCAATTATCTTGGGAGGCCAAAGCAAAAATTGGACTGCAGACTGACTGACATTATGTGCCCCTGAAGGAGTTAGGAACTTGCTCTCATAGAGGAGGAGTGCTTAGGAGTTAGGACTAGTGGAACTTGCTCTCATAGAGTAGGATGTAACCTGGAAATCTTTATGTGTATATAGTACTACAATTATGTGCTGTGTGCATTTTTTTCTCCCTTCATTATTTGCACTTTGAATTTTGGTATTAAACCATTCCTAATCATTTTAAGGCAGATCACTTTTTATGTGGATGGGCATCTTTTATGCAAATAGGAAAAAGAAAAAAAAATGTAATAAAATAATCTTTTTCAGATGAAGGGAATGAGACAGAGATTCAGCCACCACAGAACAGCCAGCTAATATGGAAACAAGGGCGACAGCTGTTAAGACAGTAAGTGTTGAAAAAAGGACTCAAATACTGATTGCAGAGAAAGAATCTGCTAATGAAATATCATGGTAATGGTATTTGCTTTTTTGATTATTCTTTTTCAGTTGTATTTTACTGAAAGAAAAGCTAGTGTGTGTGATGAAGTTCATTGAGCTTCTGCACTACTTTTCCTTGGGTTTTAAAAAATTTTAATATTTCATAACTTCAGATGAGAAGCCTTGTCAAATCACAAACACCTGATCTCATTTACTTTTCTTTCATGGAGTATAATAGGCCAATCTGCTTGGGAGAATAGTGGGTCATGACATTTTGCAATTAAAAAGCAAAAGACACATGATTCTGTTAAGAGCTGTGTAAAATAAAAACAGCTGGCATTGGAGAAGGAAAAATTTTATTTTAGCTTGCTTAAGTTGCAGAAAAGATTAACATCCAGAAGGTTAGACTAGATGTTTCCTAATTCTTGTTCATCTCAATGAAACAAATGTCTCTTAATCTAAATTAATTTTTGAATTGTGATCATAGTAGCTAAATTAATTGCCATGATATTTGGTGTGTTACAGAGGATTAAATGAGAGGGGACTGAGACAGTAAGGATGGTCTGGAACTTACATTAAAAGACCTTTTTCCAAGGAGTTGTACAAAAGTTAAATTCATTGGATGGCTTGTACAGGCTTCTCTTTTGCAAGAGCTCAAATCTTTGCCTGCATGTTGAATAAATGTAACTAGAGTGGTTTTGACTTGGATCAGTGATTTTGAAGATGAGTCATTCCATCTCGGCACAGTTCATGCAAGAGTGACACACTGCTGAATATAGAGTGCATGTTACTGACAGACTCTGTTTTGCATAGGTGACTTGTTTGATTTTTCTGTAGCCAACAATCAGTATTTCTCTCCTAATGTGGTTATGTGAATGATATTAAATAATTGGAGGAGAATGTTCTTGCAGGAGAAGTGCACGTCCCTGATTTGTAGCAGCTGTCACTGTAAAATAGCATTTCCTTTCTTCAGAGTTGTCTAGAATATTGACAATTTAATCAATTCACTGCTATTAACTCCATGTTCTAGAGGGAAGGACACAAACCAATTTCTACTTTTTCTTTTTGAAATCATTATTTCCCTCCTGTTTCTCTCAAGGGCAACATAGCATATTGGTGAAAGAGCCAACTTTAAAACTACAGAGCCAACTTTGGGCTGTGAAATCTATACAATGATTTTTGCTGTTCAGTGTTTATATGGAAGACAAATTTTTGCAGATCCGTTGCAGAATAAAGGAAAGGCAAGACAGATTTTATCAAGTGTAGTCCATCATAAATAACAGCTCTTACTAATGGCCACAGCTAAAGAATTTAGGTTTTATTCCATTTTCTAGTCTTCTAATAATGTTTACATAAGGAACATATCTACTGCTTCTTGTGTCTAGTTTCCATGTGTCAAATTATAAAAATACTTGTGCATGCAACTGTGGTGATTTTTATAAAGCAGTTGTAAGTATTTTAATTGAAAGTGCTTTTCCATCCATTTTAGTAGATGAATGAATAACGTATTGTATAACCTCTGACTGCTAGGCTCTCTGATTTTTTTTTCTCAGTGACTGTAGAGGCTGGTACTGCAAGAGGCGATCCCTCTGCAGCTGGTACAGGATGATTTACAAGCATGTTTCACTAGCTCAGCACCGGAGTTCGCTAAGCTTAGGGATTGAGGATGAGTTCAGGGAGAAGTTCAGCCAGTTGCTAAGCTAAGGGATTGAGGATGAGTTCAGGGAGAAGTTCAGGGAGGAATTTCATGTTTTGCAGAAGTGACATGTGCAGAGGAGATTAGCATGAGTTCTCTTCCTTCAGGTATCTACAAGAAGTGGGCTACACTGACACGATATTGGATGTGAAATCCAAACGAGTGCGAGCTTTACTGGGCCTCTCAAGTGATGCTTCAGAAAAAGAGAACAGAAATCAAGAGCCAATGGTAAATGGCACAGAGGGCCAGATTAAAGAAAACGCAATGATCGGGTAAGCATCAAGATGACTTTGTTCTATTTCTGCATAAATGCACTTAGTGGTGTTGAACAAAATTTTGTTTACTGAGAAGATTTCAGGATTTTTTCCTAGTTTGAGATTAGAGCAATTCTAACTAATTGTATTATATTAAGCAATAAGTATGGAAGTAATTCTTTAGATTCAAATCTGGAAAGCACCATAATTTTTTTTTTTCCAGTTGGATGGCAGCACTAAGTCAAATCAAGCCTCTTTTGAGATATGATTGCTAAGTGTTTAGAAGTCAGTGTTGTTTCAAGTTAATGGTTTGTTTGTATTGCTGGACACTTTACTGTGTAGGTTGCAGGCTTCGCTCTTCTGGTCTGTGCTGACTACGACATGATAAGCTATATAAGAGAAGGAATTTATTCGCTAAATCTGAAAAACAAAATCACTCATTACATTCTGAGTCCGAAAAGTTTTTGGTTTTCTACTGACATATGTAAATGTGACTGAAGTGTAAGGTACTAATTTCTGTATTTTAATATTTCTAATACTACGGAAAGTCAGTCAAAGACAGTAAAAGCTTGTTCTCACTCTCTTAAGTAATGCTAAAACGTAAGAGGTGTTTTTCCCATTTTCTTCTCTTTTCCATACAGTGTTAAAAAAGTAAGTTAAACTTAACTCTAAAAGCTTCAGAAAAACAATCTGTTCATTCTTGTTTAAGATACTGTAGTTGCAAAACTTGAAAAATAATGAAAATTATGCAGTATTGTAGGAACAGTAGATGAGGTAGCTATTTCCAGTAGTAGCACAGCTTTCCTCAGAAATCACTTTTTTCCTTTTCTATATTAATGGAGCAAAATTCAAGACCTTTATTTTCTAAGACCTAATACTGTTGTATATACATCCTATCTTCTAAAAAGCTGATAGCTGCAGCAACTTCAGGCCAACAAGTTACATAAGGGCAGAAGTTCATTGTTATGTAATTAAATATAATGCTGTGAGATGGAAAACTTGAATGTGTGAGAAAACCTGCAAGCTACTAAAATATATTGTGTTGCTACATAGTTGACAAGTCATGTCATTTATGTACAGCAGCTTTGTTTGGAAGAACAAGGAATGCTTGATAGCTCGCAATAACAGTTCTGGTTTGATTTCTGGTGAAGGGGAAGTGTGTAAATAACGCTTCTCCTCTTACACTTCAAAATTTATTCTTGTGTATTTACATAGTTTTGAAGAAGGTGAATGTGTGTATAAGGTAGTTACTTGATGGATGAAATACTGGGACAGTGGTTTTAATATAGCAGTTTTTGGATATATTTGCATTTCTCTCCTATCTGCTTGGTTTTGGGATAGATCTGACATTAGGTTTAACACTTTGTAGTTTACCCTGTTGCTGAGGATATTCACTGATGGAGAAAAAATAATGCCCTTCCATTGTGGCTGTACTAGCTTGTTAGCTGCAAGGCTGGTCAGGCTGTACACTTTGAAAAACTGTTCTTGCATGTGATGGCTGAGATGGCAAACTGCATTATAGAGCTTAGGGATGTGTTTTGATAAGATAATGAACAAGAAGGGACTCAAGGGCTTTACAGTGGAAAAATTTTCCAGGGTTCTTGTTCAACATGGTCATGTTGAACATGGGTGATTTTGAATTTCTGGATGTTCACTGCCATCACCCTCACCAGAAGGAAAAAAGTCAGGATTTTACTAGAATTCCATGATCAATCTAAGTACAGGACTGCCTCTCAATGCTGTGATTCTTCTGGGTGCTTCAGTCACACTTACAGAACACCTCTTTCAATTTTTCTTTCAGGAAACATTCTGTGGCTTGCTTCCTGGCAGAGACTGCCTGTTATTTAACAGCTATTTCATCTTGTGCTACCTCAGTGTTTCTGTGACATCTGGCACTGTTCACTTTCTTCCAACTGCATCATTACTTACCTCTGAGATTTCAAAGTGCAGCTTTGTGGTAGATGCAAAATGAGAAATAAGCTCATAAGCTGAAATAAGCTGTTACCTGCCTCATGTAATGCCAGCATAACTTCAGTCCATATAGAACAGCTTCTCTTTGGAAAGTATAGCATTGAATAGATTACACAGGTCTAAGGCACATGGATGTTGCTCCTGAACACAGGATGCAACTCCTGAACTCAACAGAAATTTTTAGTGAGTGTTTGAAACCCTAATTCAATGCTTTCCTGCCTGGTTGGCAGAACTAGGAAAAATTTAGGTGACTCAGCTAAATTCTGGCCTACTGTTGACAAAGGTGCATCCTTTGAAGCCATCTCACCAATGCTAGGCTGCTTACTGTGAGGGCAAAAGGACTGGCCCTTCCTTTAGCAGCCTCTTGTTATTCCTTGTGTTCATGTAAAGTGAAAAATGGATTTGGGCTGCAGCAAGCTTTTACAGTTGGAAGGAATGCAGTGAACAAGTGTCTGCAGTTTGGTAGTGGTAGAAGAGGAAAGTTATGGTGAGAAATTGGAAGAAGAAAAACCAAACAAAACCTTAGTGCAATTCCAGAAAGTTTGAAGTTTAAGGACATATGAGAGTGTTTGCCAGGACCATGAGACATTGGGACAGTTGCAAACTAAAATGCAGACTGAAGACTTTCAGTGACTGTATGGGTGCAATAAAACTCTTCAGAGGAGAAAGCTTTGCTGTCTATCACCAGAGAAACCTGTGAACTGCTCAAGCCAAGGCAGTTTGGTAGAGTTTCCTGTTCAAAACATATAATGAACATTGATGTCAAATATTTGCTTGCAAGTCTGAGGACACTGGTCAACCTGAAGATGTTCTAGTTACATTTGAAGAGCAGAGCACTGGGCAGAAGGTAACACATGAAAATGGATATAGGCCAACAAGGAATACACATCTGTTGAAGTGAGAAAAGACAGCTCATAGCATTTTTAATCTGTTTGGTCTTGGAAAAACTGCATAACATGCACCCAGTTGAATATGTGCATTTTTAGTCTGTGTTTTAGTTTAAGTCTGTGTTTTAAAAAACTGTTTACATGGAGTGAAAAATGTGAGAAGCGGAGTGCAGGACTGAAGTAGAGACAAACCTTGGGGTTTCTCGATACGATAAAGACAAATCAATAGGAGTTTGAAAAGAATGTGGGTGGATGTGATTAAGATAATGTACAATAGAGGGGAAAATGGTACCATGAAAAACAGAAGGAGTATGGATTTAATGATGCATTTCCAGAATAGAAAAGTGGAAGGCACACTAGCTTTTAATTTCCTTAAAGATTTCTCCATATAGCAGTGTAAATTGCAGAAAGAACAGATTGGCTCAACTGCCTTCTGAACACTGAACACTTGTGATAAATTCCAAAGAAAGGAAAGAGATGGTATTTGATGCTTTTATGCTACAATATGGTTATCTCTTTGAGAGGAGAGAGGTAGTAATGGCAATAGGAAACAAAACTTCCTTTATGTTTTCATTATTTGTTTGATAGCCAACCAATGCTTTCTTAGTGAAATGAAAGTGGTGCAACACAAAATAAATGAGTATTGCAGAAAATTCCAGGGAAAAAATGAAGAGCTGATCTACTTCTCGACACAGTCTGTTTTTAGCACAGTTTTTGTGTTAGTGTATTCATCTGTGCATAGTGCTTTTTTCCTCAGAAAAACCTCTGTGACTTGCTCAGACTGTACCTCTGAGCACAGTGGAAACCCACATGTTGCTTTTTTTAAAATATATTTTAATGCCTTTGATTGTTTTAAAGATAATACCTGGCATTTTTCCTCTGACCTTGGGGATGTGTGAAGTGTATACTTCATGGTAGGTAAGGAGGATGTTTTTCCTCTGTTCAGCTTACTACAGCTTTTACAGGTTTTTAAGTTGTTACAGCAGCATTTGCCTGTTATATGTTTTATCTTGTTGTCTGTCCTTTATACCTATTTCAACAGCTGAGGTTTGGACTCTCAGTGTTTGGGGTACCAACATTGAGTTGAGCCTTTTTGTGGGAAAGGCTAGTGAGAATGTTTGGGGTGATTATTGTGAAGCTGATGATGTTTGCTTTGGTATGTAGAAGCATATGATGGTTAATGTAGTGCAAATACTTAATACAATAATATTTAGTTTCAGCAGAGGATATGTAACTTGAATTCTGCTAGGCTCTAGTTATTTTAGAAAACTGCTGTCCAGTCCCTCATAACCTCTCAGCTTAGTTTTCTATGTCCTAAATTATTGCAGTATTTCTTCAGAGAAGTTCCCCCTCCTTTGGAACAGTGATGAACACACTACTGTTGTCTGACTCTGTTTTAAGCCAAATCAGTTTCTCTTCATCCTTAGGTGAAATAGCCTCAGACTTTGTGTTACCAGCTGCTGCATGTTTGGCCAGACTTGTGTTCTTACATTGCCTATTTATTTGCTGATGTACAGATCCTCTTGAAAACTTTAGCACTCAAGAAAGACATCATGTGGATTTTGAATGCACCCTGCAAGATTTTGAATCCGTAAATGAAATGTTAATATGATAACGTGAGCTAGATATAGTCCTGTTTTCACTTATTTCATGGAATTTTAAAGGGAATCAGTTTTCAGTTTCTTCAATCAGCTCACTTGCATTGCAAAAGATAAGTACCACTTGGCATGACTGGACTCAAAAATAGATACTAAAATAATAACCTCATAATAATGGTTTAAATTCCTAACACTTGCAGTGAGAGGGTGCTTTCCCCCAACAAACTGAAACAGAAATGAAAGCTGCCTGCAAATGTAGCTTGTAGCCTTGAAAACACGCGAGTACTTAAGTATCTTTAGTTCATTTATTACCTCATTTTTAGTAGCTTTATCTTACTGAGTGAAACCTCAACAGTCAAATGAGTTTACCTTCTTGAAGGTGTGTATTTGACTACCATTTAGTATGAGTGGAAGCAAATATAATAAAGGAATAGAACTGGAAAGGAATGAGGAAATACCACACTGATGTGTGTATATATATGCATAGATACAAATGTCTATATATAAAAATGGTATAGATTAGTTCTTGCTAAGGGGTTTGATCATTAGAACTATAAATAGC